TTACCTTTAGAAAATTTACTCTTCCAAAGTGTCCAGATGTGGACGTACAGTGGCACTACCCTGTTGTGTTGTGGTATACAGTACAGTTCTGCAGCTGATCACCCCAAACTGGTCAGACAAGTCTTGTCAGGGAACATCTGGGTGACCCAGGGTTCAAGGAGAGTCAGGAAGTGACATGTTGTTGACGTCATCTGTCCACAGAAGGAGCGGTGTGGTAGGGTGGGGCCTGGGGGAGTACATGGTGTCAGTCGTTAGGGGCCATTTCAAGTCTTATACAATGTATATGGTTCATAGACTCAACATGTAAAACTTCACACTCTTATCTTAAAATCTGGATATTTCTCTCAAAATTTGGTTAGATGTCTGAGGATATAACATCCGTGTCCATAATATCACCAGGGTCCATAATATCGCCACCTTGAAAAATAGTGTGCTTTAAGATATTTTTACTGCTACATACTTTTGGTATGCACTCCTGCACACCTCAAATGTACATACCTAGGGTATGTTGCAGTAAAAATATCTTTAAGCACACTTTTTCTCAAGGTGGTGGTATTACGGACTATGGTGATATTATGGACACAGATGTTATGTGTATGACTTTTCTAAGGCGTAATCAGCCGTTTCAGTTTGTCATAACTCGTAAGAAAGTTTCATCATTTTATGATCAACAGTTGCAGTTTTGCAGTTGTAGTAATATGCAGGGATGACACTGAATTTAAAAGAAAGTGTAGTCAGCCCTCTAAACTATATACTATGACCAGAGCCCCTTATGCAGACCAAGACCTTATTGAGCCAGTCCCTGAAAATACCAGTAGTCTGAGAGCAATGTCAACTTCAAAAACCATCATTGGCATCAACCCACAAAAACACTTGTGGGGAAAACAAAACCAACATTGCAGGCATCACCTTCACAGACACAATAAATCACTTTTTATGCACCTGCTGCACTAATTGCCGCTTTTATAGCCCTTTCTCAGGTCGTAATTTGTTTTTCCTGAGTGTGCTGCCAGTGACCTAATTACAGCAGTGCAATAGACATAATTTGTCCATAACGACGTCTATATTGCAGTTTTTAGTGTCTGGATGTCTTGATTTGACAATTAACTTGGCAGCAACTCCACAAACTATACAGACAGTAGTGATGTGAAGACTCCACATAGACTGATGTGACAGACACTCATTTATCATGTGCTAAGGCGACCCAATTTGTAAATTGGTTCTCGGATTTGGCTCTTCATTTTTTTTCTGATTTGAAAAAAAAAATTTGGTTCTGAATTTCATTAACAGTTCAAAATGTATGAATTATAACTTAGCTTAAGTATGTTGACTTCATGGCTACATTGTACTATAATTATTGTAACGATTCTGCTATTATGGGCCATGGGTGTCTAGGCCTTTTTATTATTTCATCCCGTCGCTTAATATTTTTTCTGAAGAAATCCAAGAACCGTCAAATTGAATTGGTGTGGCTTGATTCCCTTATGTAAACTACAAGTATTGCTATTTTAGTCCAACATTTTGAAGGTACTTCTGGCCATAATCAATATAGCATAAATGTGTACACAACAAACAAAGTAACAAGCCTTATTATAGAAAGTTGGTATTTACTTGTGATTAATAATCAACTATGTGTGTGCTTAACCCAGTAATTTTGTGAGAACACAGTAAGCTACCGTCCAGTTTTACACCTTTTTCTATACATACACACAATGTTTGTCAAATATCTTTCATGTATAGGATTGTCAAATATCTATTCTAAATGTAAAATTAAACATGTTGTCTGTAGAAGATGAAGAATGATGATGTCTGAAATACTTTGCTGAAAATGAATCTGAACTGCTTCACCAGTATAGCTTTTCCATGCTAGCCCTAAGCTTTGTCAGCGAGTTGGGCAGCCCAGACTATCACTGTCGAACCAATGAATAAATACATAAATGAATAAATGAATGAATGAATGAATACGGCCACCCTTACATAACACTGGTTATATAAAACTGAGCGACCTCGCCATACCATAATCAATCACAATTACCGTAATAACTATAACTGCTGTTTGAAGTCATCTCCAAGTAGATCCTACAGTGGCAAGGCAGTATCCATTGGCCAAGCAGGGTGGCTAATGGTCATTGCTTGGCCAATGGATACTGCATTGCCACAATAGTATCTACTTGGAGATAAGTTTGAAGCTCATATTCCGTCATAATTAGTAAGTTTGAAGCTCATAATTTTAATTCTAATTTACATTGTACCAACATTTGCTCCTAGTAAATATGGTTGTACCATATTTCAGCAAATTTCCTTCCACAGTGGTAATATATTGAAAATCATTGTCAGAAGCTGCAAGGGATGTAGTAATAAGTCAGAAAATAACAATTTCTCACCTGCAGTTCTTGACCAGGTGTGCTGCAGAGGAAACGGCAGTCCACAGACTCAGACCTTAAGATGACACTCAGCAGATCTGAAGTAAGATTTGCACTGACTCTTGAGTGCCCTCTGTTCACAACAAAATAAGTAATATGTACAAGTTACATCTTGAGCAATGCTAACTTATCGGGTATCTGTATCGCCGGCATAACCGCCTTTCGGCGTAACACACCAGCTTCGCCAATGGGTAATCTATTGCTGACCACACATGCAGATACAAGATTGATTGAAGGAAAGTCACTTTATTTTTTCAAAATTACAAGATGTTTCTCTTCAGGTCAGATATTTAGACAGATATTTAGACTAACATGTAGACCCTAGTGACACATAGGCTATATATACCGGTAGCTTAGGTTAGGAAAGGATGGAAAAACAAGCTTTTTGACATACATGACATAATGTCCTAATGGGTAAGCCTACAGCTATAACACCATTAAGGCACTGTCACACACATGCTGTAAACAACCTTCCACTGAATTTGTTGGTGGCCAGAAGGTCACCGAATTTCAAAATTGCCCAGAGAGTCGACCACACGAAAATCTACCGTCACATTTGATGTGACCTGCAAGTGCCAGACAATCATGAAAAATCGTGCAGTGATCGAGAGAACACCGGCCCAGAAATATACCAGCCAAAAGTTTTTTGAGCCTGCACACTTTTAGCCTGGGCGCCAGACCACAGTTTATGCTATACAGTATACTTCCTTTGGTCGAGGGATAGCCACACTGCCCCAATCACAGAGTTGGCATCCAGGGTCTAATCTTTCTCTCACACCTACGGGATAATTCGAAGAAGGTTGCCAACTTTGGGAGCGGGGTGTGTTGGAGGCAGGGCATGTAGGGTGAGAGCCAGTTGAGGGATCACTGAATTTCCTTTTCTTCAAGCACTGGGGTCTGGCACCCAGGCTGTCAGACTTCTTGAGTATAGCAGCTTCTTTTTCCTGCTATGCAAAGACTCTGACAGTTTACACTTTAATTTGTCAACTACATGTATAAGTATGCATGGTAGGTAACATGTCCCAAACTTCAACACCTAACCACATTTGGAGCGCAAATGGCTGAAACATGCCACCAGCAATTTTAGACACAACAGTTGGGCCAACATCAGCTACAGCTAGTTGAACTGCACCCCACATCTCTTCTTACATGAGGGTCTGCATGCTCTTTTCCGTAAGGCGTAGGCGGCCTCTTTATAATTTCCCGTAATTCGTAAGGAAGTCATTTTATTTACCGTTATTCATAGTGAGGAGGCGAAAATTTAGCGTAAAACGTTGCCAGCCTTCCGGAAATTTAACGTAAAGCGTTGCGGGCCTCCATAAATTTAGCGTAAAGCGTAATCAGGACCCCCCATGCAGACCCTCTTACATGGTACGCTGCCAAAAAAGCAATTTACCGTCCCCTTTAGGACGACCAAAGGAACAGCTGAGAAGCCTTCAACTTAACCAGATTTTTATGGATAAGACCTGAGTGCCAAAAGCATTTCCTCACTGCATTTGCAGACTGTCTGAACATGGTTTCTCCAAGCTAAATTTGTTTTTCTTACTTCACTGTAGATGTGAATGATACATGTATATGTAATTCGTATGTTGATCTGCTGATTAATCTAAGTCTTTTAGTTTAAGTGAACGCTGAAATCAAAGATCATACAATGATTTCCTTCTTTCCTTCTTCCTTTTTCTCTCTTCCTCCCTCTGTCTTTCTTTCTTTCTCAAAAAAATTATCGTAACATAAATTCTAACCATAGAAGATAACCACACCTTGAGCTTTTGCTGCTGTTCAGGTTGTCCAACGGTAAGAAGCTGCAAGCTTGTACATCACCTTCTACATGCCAATCTTGTACATGTACATCCTACAAGCCAATCTACTTCGACAAGGACTCATATTTCCCAAGGACAGTCTCTGATTGCAACTCTCATTACCGTATGACATAACAGGAACTGCAGAACCGACCAAATTCAAGGTTACAGTCCAACTACAGCTGAAATGGCAGGAATTAACAGCACAGTACACACCCCTATAGCTAGGCACTAGATCCCAACCGTGGGGTGTTAAT